GTCGAGACCAACTGACTCCATTACTAAGGTCTTAACAGATGTCCATGAAAAATTTCGACAAAAAAATGGCCGAAATCTCGTATCACCAAAAATTCATGGACTATAACACACGAAAATCGGTAAAATTTGGATTTACTTGCTCTGGGGCTCGTTTGAACTTGAAAATGGTTCCGTTTGCCCGTCGGAACCAACTGGCTCCCTTATTAAGGTCTTAACGAACGTCCATAAAAATTTTTGACAAAAAATGGCCGGAATCTCGGATCACCAAAAATCCATCGACTGAAACGCACAAAAATTGGTAAAATCTGGGTTTACTTGCTTTGGGGCTCGTTTCAACTTGAAAATGGGACCGTTTGCCTGTCGGGACCAACTAGATCCATTACTAAGGTTTTAACAGACGTCCATGAAAAATTTCGACAAAAAATGGCTGGAATCACAAATCGCAAAAAATCCATGAACTATAGCACGTGAAATCGGTAAAATCTGAGTTTACCTGCTTTGGGCTCGTTTGTACTTGAAAATGGGTCTGTTTACCCGTTGGGACAAACTAGCTCCATTACTAAGGTGTTAATGGACGTCCATGAAAAATTTCAACAAAAAAAATGGTGAACTTGAAAATGCATATGTTTGTCCCTGAGGACCAATTGAATCCATTAATAAGGTCGTAACGAGTGTCCAACAAAAGTTTCGACAAAAACAAGTCGGGATCACGTATCACCAAAAATTAATGGACTATAGCACACGAAAAACAGTAAATTCAGTTTTTCTCGCATTTGGGATCTTTTGAACTGTAAAATGCATATGTTCGTCCCTCAGGACCAACTGACTCCATTAATAAGGTCGTAACGACGTCAACAAAAAATTTCGGCAAAAAAAAAAGTTAGGATCAGGTATTACCAAAAATTCATGGACTATAGTACACAAAAAATGGTAAATTCAGTCTTCCCCGCATTGGGGCTCTTTTGAACTTTAAAATGCGTCTGTTTGCCACTCGGGACCAACTGACTCCATTAATAAGGTCGTAACGGACGTCCATAAAAATTTCAGCAAAAAAACAAGTCGGGATCACGTATCACCAAAAATTCATGGACTATAGCATACGAAAAAGGGTAAATTCGATCTTTCCCGCATTGGGGCTCTTTTGAACTTGAAAATGTGTCTATTTGCTCCTCGGGACCAACTGACTCCATGTCTTACTTTCCTTCTTAATATGATTTTAAAAAAAAGAATGGTATTTTTTAGATTTAGTAACTTTAATAATCCAACACTCCACCTGACAAATTAATACCGCAAAATTCAAGAAACATTTTGATAGATTAGAGTACATATTTTTAATTTAATATCATAATTTTTTTAAAAAAATCTTTTAAAAAAAAATAAAAAAAATTGATGAGAAAGCATAGAATATGACGCATTTGGTCACGGATTCAAAGTTCAAGGTGTTTCTTGCTTTATATTACTTGGGAGAAGTTCAAAGGTTAAATGCCTGCACTGCTATCCATGAGCTCTGAGACTCAGGAACAGAGAAATACAAAATGATCCGTAAGAGTAAAATTATCTTTTTATTTATGATTAAAAAACTTGTAAACTAGAGAATAGTGAACACATAATATAAGACGGAGAGCATATCAATTGTAAAAACTAGAAACACCTCAATTATGAATACGTTGATGACTGTTCGAATACTAGTTAAAAACATTTTAAATCAGAGGAATCACGACAAATAATTTGAGACGAAACACGTAAGGAAGACATTATTACCTTTGTTTCCCCAAGAACATATTTTATAGTGTTCGCTGCCTTCAACGTTCAAAAAGTCCTTGTCCTACACACATACACTTGCAACTTCAAAATATTGCAAGGCCACCATCATTAATTCAAAACTTCAAATATTCAATTTCAAATCTTAAAAATGTGTCCTATAACATTCAATTCTCAAAAATCCACTTTTGTTGGTTCTTTTTTTTCTTTTAAGGTAGATGTTTCTTTTAATTATATATACTATAGTATTTAAATTTTAAGGGCTTTGGAGAGGAGCATCTAAGTAAACAAACAAGTAAGTTCACTATATATGTTTTCATTTTCTTGATTCAATATTATCTCCTAATGTTTGCATTTTCTTCTTTAACTTTCACAAATAAATTGCTAATTATAGTGTCAGGCTTGCACATCAACTATTTCACTTGGTATTTGTTCACCAAGACTTAAACAGATAGAAAAAAAATCACTTACTATAATATTGGAGGTATATTTTAATAATATTGACATATGCATGAGGGAAAAGTGGACAAGAAAATCTACTTTTGCTCTGCTCTATAAGCATGCTTCACCAGTATCTATGGATTGTTTATGTGTCTTCTTTAAGCAGAAAACTCTTTCCTTTATCATTAACAAACAAAACATTTCCAACTTTTTAGGTAGCTAGTAAAGAATCAACTTATACATGTATTAGTCTATTTATAAGTTATACAACGTTCGGTAGCTAGTTAGGAAATAGGTTATTCATGTATAAAATTAATACGATATTTGGTTTGCACTTTAGAAATCATATAAGTTATGAGGGAATTAGTGTATTATCTTATGTGAGGTAGAAGTCGGCATAACTAATACCTGAATAATTCTAACCAGCTATCAAACAACTTGTTTACAGAGATCAAGACTAAAGCTTTTGGAACCTTTGGTCAAACACTTTTATTAAGAAGTTGAAATGCCAAGATTAAGGTGAGTTCTTGGCATCATTTAAATCTCCCTGAGTAATAGTCTCTTTTCCAATTCCAACTCATTGTTTTGACAACAAAGTTTATCCATTTCATGTCAAATAGGGGATCAGATATGCTTCAAAGGCAATCACCTCGAGTCCCGTCGCAACTCAGAACATCAAATTCTGATTCTGATCAGAGAAGTCCTAAGTTAGGAGATCGTAAATCCCCACGAGGCGCTCAATCTGATCCAGTAAAACAAAAGAAACTTGGTACAAGAATTGCAGATTTGGATACTCAACTTGGGCAAGCACAAGAAGAGCTGAAAGATCTTAAGGATCATTTAGCTTCAGTTGAAGCAGCAAAGAAAGCAGTTCAAGAACAGCTTGAGAAAACCAAGAAATCAACTGTCCTAGAGCCTGAGGAAATCCAAGAATCTAAGAGCAAATTAAAAATTCAAGAAATTGATGTTTTTGAAGTCCCATATGTTGAAAATAGCCAGCCAACAAATGAAAAAATCACAACTTTATCAGTTGCTGAACCTGATAAACCATCACCTGAGGAGCTGGCTTTGAAGAATGAAGAAATAAGCTTGCTGAAAGACAAGTTAGCAGAGAAAGATCAAGAATTCCAAGCATTTTCCCAAGAAAATGAAAACCTGAAGAAGGAACTGAATGAAACGACTCGGGAAATTTTATCCACTAAGGTGAAAACAGAGGAAATGAATCTCAAGTTTAACCAAATTACTCAAGAACTGGAAACAACTAAGAACGATGCTTCTACGCTAAATGAGAAACTTGAAGCCACCGAAAAGGCAAAGGAGGAATTAGAAAGTGAGATGAAGAAATTCAGAGTCCAAACAGAACAATGGAAGAAAGCTGCAGATGCTGCTGCAGCTGTGCTAGCTGGGGAAGTGGAGTTGAATGAGAGAAGGCTCTCTGAGAGGAGTGGATCAATGGATTATAAGCGCTATGGTAATGTATTTGAACCAACAGTTGGAGGATATGGTTGTTATATGGGTTCACCAGGACTTATCGATGACTCTGATGATGGTTTTGGTCGTGTGAAGAGAAAGGGTTCTGGTATTAAGAAGCTTGGAGACCTGTGGAGAAAGAAGGGACAGAAATAAGCGATTTCTTAACACTTACAAAGACTTATGTCAGTAATGGTGGCTCACCATTTCAATTTTCTTGGCTAACTTTTTGAATCTTCTTCATGACATCTAACCAAATCTAATATGCTGCATTTAGATTTCTAGGTTAGTTTTTCTTGTATCCTAGTCTAGCTTGATGCAAGAGAGTAAAGACCTGTCATTTAGGAGTAATTGGATCCAAAATCTGATATGTTGATGCTTAGTAGCTTCTGTTGGAAACTATTCTTGAGGTTCAGCAGTCATTCCTATTGACAAATTTGTGTTAGATCTCGCTTACTCATTCATCATTGTTACAAATGTAGTAGATGAAATGATAACCTACGAGTCTACAACAAAATCATGGATGAACAGTTATTGTCTAGTAGAAAATATCCTCACAAAACAATCAAGTAACAGTTAAAATGGAATATGGAACGTCATATGGGAGTTTCAAACCTTTCAACCGAAGAGGAGGCATAACACATACTACAAAGGAAGATAGCCATACTCCTGAAAGTTTCTATCTTGAAGTTCCAATTGTGAATTTACTCCACCAAAATGAATGAGCAAAAGTATCTGTTTTGAGCCACATTAGAGCTTCATGTATTGCTTATCTTGTTTCCTTTTTCTTTTCGAATAATGTTGGACCTGCTAGTGCCCGCCTTAACTACTCAATTGAGTATCTGTTACCTGCACTAATACAAGTACCGGTCTCATGATAACCTTGCCCCATCAAGACTGAGGCAAATTGGGAGGAATCACCTAGAATTACATGTGCTTATCTTGTTTCTTAGTACTCATAAATGAGTATACTACCAGTCATCAAATAGGAGAGGAACTGTGCTGCAACTGTTTTAATGGAATATACTAAAACAGACAAATTTTTAATAGATAAAGAGACAAGCTATTCTAGTACCTTCTTTTTCCTATAGCATTTTCATTTGCTTTACTGTAACTTCGAATCAGCCAAAAAGTTTCATGAGCCATGGTCAAATTTTGTATCAAAGGTTAGCAGCAAATAGAATTCTATGACAACGACAATGAAAATGGAGAATCTTGTAATGCATATGGTGCTGCACAAATGATAAATCAAATTAAGTAAAATATGGAAGATACGGGATGTGAAGACAACATTGCTATTCTAACTTATAAAGCATATTTCCTGTCATGGGATTTCAGCAATAACTGGAAAAATAACTTTAAACATTCAGGGGAAAAAGAAAAGGAACATTCAGTTACTTTGCCAACATCATTAGCTGTACATTCGATTCCTAGAGAATCTAAAACCAAATAACTGCAAAAGTTCATGGATCAGTCTAAAGATCATACCAACTATAACACTTGATCAGAACTTTCTTTTTCCTCTTCATTAACGGACTTCTGCTTATCGGGATGAGCTATATCATATGTTGCATGGACACCAACAAGCACGTAGTAAATTAGCATCACAGCACTGCATATGAAGAACCGATAAAATGCCGCCTTACCCAAAGAGCCTATCAAAAATATATTCATCCCAATTGACAATGATGGTACCCATGGCACAAGAGGTACACCCCAAACTTTAGGAATTCTTTGTTTTGGAAGTAGCGCCATCCCTGAAGTGCCCAACAACCACAAAATGCCAGTCACAGCATACCCAACCCAACCTTTTACATCAGTACTCCAAAGAACTGTTGCCCCAATTGATGAACCAAAAACAATGAACAAACAAAGAAGAAATTTACCCAAATCATGCTTCAAAGTAACATCGGTAACGTAGTATCGCCTAACAAGCAATGCAACAGCCATAAGCATGAAAATGGAAAGTGTACTAAATGAGAACACACTTGACAAGACATCCAAGCTCGTGAACAGAGCAAGAATGCAACTAGTTATAGTTGTCAAGAGTGTAGCATAAATAGGTGTTCCAGTTTTCGGGTGAACCAAAGCAAACCACGGGGGAATCATATGTGCTCTTGCAATCTGAGTTGTGTATCGAGATTGTCCCAATGACCCAACAAGCATACTAGTAGTCATTCCCTTAAGTGCACAAATCCCCACCAAATACTTTGCCCAATACATACCTATGCCTTCAAATGCAACTGAATAAGCTGCATTAACATCCACTTGAGTATATTTAACCATCATTGCCAATGCCAACGCCATCAAACAATAAACAACAGTAATCATAGACATCGAACCAAGCAACCCTAACGGTATATCCCTCGACGGCCTCTTTGTCTCCTCAGCCATATTCGCAACCATATCAAAACCAGTATACGACCAATACACAACTGCTGCAGCTCTAAACACCCCTCCAGCCCCAAAAGGGAAAAAAGGCACCAAATTTGAAGTCTTCCCATTAACAAACCCAACAATTATAATAAAAACAATCACACCAGCACTAATTATAGAACTTACCCAATTCAAAGTAGATGTCATCTTTGTCCCAGTCATAGCAACCCCATTAGCAAGTGCAAGAACCACAACAGCTATTGGATCCAACAAATTAAACCCTTCTACAAAAGAATCAATCTTGATCCTCAAAAAATCCGGGTTATTCTTAATAATACTAGCAAAATAAGACGACCATGAACGTCCTAACCCAGCAGCACCCACCATAGCCTCTAATAGAATATTAGCAGCAGCTATAAACGCAACAAAATCACCCAACTCAATTCTCAAAAACGAAAAAGACCCACCAGCAACCGGAATATCAACAGAAAATTCAGTATAACAAAACACAGAAAGCAAAGCAGATAAACCAGAAATTGCATACGAAAGCACAATAGCAGGTCCAGCATCATTTCGGGTTTCTTGACCCGTAATGCTGAAAATCCCTGAACCAACAACAGATCCAAATCCAAGCCAAATTAAATCCCACCAAGTCAGACATAATTTCATTTCATTTTCCGATTCTTTCTTAAGCTCAACCAATTCACTGCTATCTGATGAACGGGCAAAAAGACGGTTCTTGAGACGATTTGGGGTTTGAGAAAGGGCATTTTTGTAGGAACCCAAATTGTGAAAAGACGGTTCAGGGAAGAAATCTTGCTTGCTGAAACGCCAATAACGCTTATGGGGTTGTTGGGTTTTTGGTAAAGACTCCATTTTTGTTGAGGTTGAAGGAGAAGGAGAAGTGACACTGAATTTTTTGGAAGAATTTAAGGGAATTTTGAGTTGTTGAGAATGTTCTGAAATTGTCATCTTAGTATGAATCGAATCAGACCAATTTCTTTGGAATTCCAAGATTTGTGGAGCTATGAATTTTCCTTAATTAGAGGTAAAGTTAATTATCAAAATGTATTTGGACGGACATGTTGGCATAATAAAAGAATAAAATATTTTACAAGATCATGTATTGATGTACATTAAGGTAAAAAATACACATTAATGTTCCCCCCGTTTTTATTTGTTCATGTAAAAACAATTGGTCAACTATGTTATCTAATATTTTCTCCGTTTACTTTCAGTTATCGTGATTTTTTTTTTTAGAGTCAAATGTTAAGAACTTTGACTAACATTGATATACAAAAACTTTTAATTTGTAGTACTTTTCATATAGTTTTTGAATATCTAATTTATTTTGTTTAAAATGTTAAATTTAATTTATTCTAATTTAATTTTAAAAATTAGTCAAATTGACTTTCGAGAAATCCAACATGACAATTAAAAGTGGACGAAGGAGTATAAAAATCAATAGATAATTGACTATTTTCCATATTTGTTGGGATTTTGAAGATTTTTTTAAATATTTATTCTTCATTTAATAAGACTTTAATAATTTTATATTTTTTAGGAGATTAATACAGAAATAATTAAAAGAATTTTAGTGGAAAATTTTGTCCTTAAATATTTTTGGAATATCTCATATCCCAATAATTTAATTAAGATGAACTAGGAGTATCTTTTATTTATTTTACCTTTATTATTGGAGATGGATCATTTTTTAATATTTAAATGACTTACAATTAATAGAGATGATTATCAAAATTATTTATTTATTTATTATTTTTTAAGAGTCTGTCAAAATAATATATGGACAATTGAAAGTAAAACGAAAAAAAGAATTATTATTTACCAAAAAAAAATTTATATAAAAAGAACAAACGAGTTACACGACGGTTCTTCATTTTTTTTTAAAAATAATTAAAATTGCTAGCTTTTATTGTTGTACCACATTTTCGAATAGAAATTATTAGTCACATCACACATGAATCTGGGCTTAAACATGTTGAATAGAAAAGACACAAGGAACCGTGAGACTGCTTAATCACTAAAATAATGACTAATTTTATATTTAATAGGTTCAAAATCAAATATATAAATATAAAATTATTTTAAATACCTTATATATACACGGTAATTTTTTTTCGAGGGAGTTTGGGACTTTGGGTGAACCCCTCGACTACCTCTAGGTGCACCCTTGCTAGCAGGATTATTGAAGAAATGTTCTCTCTTTCATCTACCTATCATGTCTTCTTCTTCTTATACTTATATTGTTTTGAACTTGATTATACAATATTTTAATATAATTTTTTTATTCTTCTTAAATATTTTATGTGAAAAAAGTCATCTACATAATTTACATCATTTTTATAACTTTTGTTCGAATAATATCGATTAATTTTATGTCTTTAACTCACTTATTATCCTCTTCATAACTCATACTTTTATTAATCTTTCATTGCACATGTCTTTCAAGTTCATAACCCTTAATTTGAGGTAAAGTAAAGGTGACAAACTTGAAAGAAAATTTTAACTATTTACTTAGGGTCTGTTTGGAAAGCCACCTGGTAATTGAAATTGGTGTAATTACTAGGGTAGTAATTACCTGCCTAGTAATTCCACTGTCTAGTAATTACACTGACCTGTTTGGTTGCCACAGTGTAATTACACTGTAATTACACATGTCATGTTTGGATGTCACAGTGTAATTACACATGTTCTGTTTGGATGCACAATTGCAACCATTAAATTATAATAAATTTTTAAAATAAAAATTAATTATTTAAAATTTATACTAGACAAATAAGAAACTTTATAAATGGTATTAAATTAAATATTTAAGATATATATTCTTTTTTGAAAATATATTAATTAATAAACATAATTTCTGTAACTAATATTATGAAAAAATAATTGATTTATATTTTTTTCAAATTAATATATTTCAATTGAATTGATCGTAACAACTAAAAGTATGAAGTTTCTACGAACATCGTGAAATGCATGTTTGATAAAAAGAATAATATATAAATAAAATGTCATAAATTATTAAATGTTTGACAAAAATATAATTTATCAACTCTAATTAAAAAATGACGTGCAATGTGGATTCAATATTACTAAAACAAATGAAACTGAAAATATAACATAAGTTATAAATTCAAAACAAAAATTTTAACATAGTACTCTTATAACAAATTTCAACATAGCAATAAATATGATTTAGTTTTAGTTTTTCTTAATAAAGAAAATGTAAGTCTATAATTTACTTAACAATAAATTCTATTTTAATTTAAAAATTAGAATATAATAAAATTATGCTAATGAGAAAATAAGCATGGCATAAAGAAATAGATAGTACGAAAAAATTACATAGAATCACGTAAAGTAAGGTTGAGAATAAGAAGAAAATGAAATATAATAGTATAAAATAAAAAATAAACTTTTAAATTTTTAGAATAATAAAATTAAAAAAAGAACTTAAAATAATAGAAGTAAAAAAAATTAAAACAAAAAAATTAAAATAGAAATAAAAAAAAGAAATTAAAAAGTAATCAGGTGGTAATTACACCATGTAATTACCATCAATTCACAGCCTCTGCCTGTGAATTGTAGAGTGTAATTACCCCCTGCCAATTACACTAATTACGTACTGACCAAGTAATTACCTGTCCTTCCAAACAGGACAAGACAGTGTAATTACACCAATTACACCAAATCCAATTACCAGGGTGTCCTTCCAAATAGGCCCTTAGTGATTTCGATATCGATATTTGTTAAGAAGGTAAAAGTAAAATTGATCAAATTCTCTTTTAATTTTATCATTATATTTCAATTCTTTTTACCCTGAAAATGCCTTCTTTCTTAATTTTAGAGAAAAGGGTCTAAAAATACTTCAATTTTGGCAGAAATTGTTGTTACGATACCAAATTTTACGGAGGACTTTTTACCCCTTGCACTATTTAATAGTATATTTTAAAGGTATATATGTGCCCACGTGGACACGTTACTATTTATAATGATGTAATATTTATGATGTCCACGTGGACACATATATACCTCTAAAATACACTATTAAATAGTGCAGGGGTAAAAGGTCTTTTTCAAAGTTCGGTATTGTTAAAACAATTTCGATCAGAATTCGGATATATTTAAGAACTTTTTCCCTTAATTTTATTTCCCATTCTACCAATATGTTTTCTTTCATTTTTCAATTCTTATTATCGATTTTGATTTTTGTTCTACTAACATATTTTCTTTCATATTTCAGTTAATCTTTTTTATATTGATTTAGAAATCAATGTAATTTGTTCTTAAATTTTAATGGTAAAAATTAAGGTGAAATAGAATATAACAAATGACGATTCTTCCACTAAATAAGAAAATGTAAAGAAATTAAAAGGGTGAAATCTCATTTTAGAGTGACAAAAAAATCTATCAAAGTAATATTATACATTGTTCAATATTCTTCACATTTTAAAAAAGATGAACAATTTGAGAATGTCATCCACAACAAGGTTTGTTGGATTTTTTAAAATCAATTAAATAAACTTTATCTCACAAATATCTCAAATTTCAACCTATAAAATATCTTCAGTTATTCCATCCCACCAATCAAACGACCGCATATGTTCCTAATAATATAACTAATAAAATTTAAGAGCCTAATAAATGGGTCCTTCAAATCGATTACCATTTATAGCATTGTTCCCCACATCAAGGACTTCTAGACCATTACACTTGAGCAACGACTCATGAATGGGTCCTTCAAATCGATTACCATCTACGACAACGGTACTCAATGAAGTGCTCTGTGCACCTAATGGAGGAAGACTCCATGTGAAATTGTTCCTTCTTAAGTCCAGCACTGTTAGTAAAACCATGCTTCCCAAGCAATGTGGAACTAAGTCACTGAAGTTGTTACGTGATAAATCTAATAAGATAAGCAAACTCATGTTATAAATGAATGAAGGTAGTGGACCTTGAATGGAGTTAAATTTCAGATCAAGATACTTTAGACTATAATAATGGAATTGTGGTAGGTGGCCTGTTAATGAATTATGAGAAAGGTTTAGGAACTGCAACGAGTCCCACCTCATGCCGCTAAACCAATTAGGGATTTGACCACAAATCTTATTGTTAGAAATATCCAAGTACACAAGTGTCTTTACATTTCTCAAGAAGTGTGGAAAATCCTTCAATTCACAAGAGGACAAAAATTGAACAATAATACTGTGTGGAATTTTATTTTTATTCTTTTATTTGCTTTTTATTCAAAATTTTGTTTGATATGTGTCTTAATTTCCTGCATAATTAGATAAAATTTTATGAGAAATTTCCGATTAGTTGTCTCTTGTGTTGTTTTCCAAGACTTTTCACATTTAATATTCTTGAGTACTTTTCTCTAGTTTTTTTTTTCCTTTCAACTACAATGGCCTGTTAATGAATTATGAGAAAGGTTTAGGAACTGCAACGAATCCCACCTCATGCCGCTAAACCAATTAGGGATTTGACCACAAATCTTATTGTTAGAAATATCCAAGTACACAAGTGTCTTTACATTTCTCAAGAAGTGTGAAAAATCCTTCAATTCACAAGAGGAAAAAAATTGAACAATAATACCGTGTGAAATTTTATTTTTATTCTTTTATTTGCTTTTTATTCAAAATTTTGTTTGATATGTGTCTTAATTTCCTGCATAATTAGATAAAATTTTATGAGAAATTTCCGATTAGTTGTCTCTTGTGTTGTTTTCCAAGACTTTTCACATTTAATATTCTTGAGTACTTTTCTCTAGTTTTTTTTTTTCCTTTCAACTACAATGGCCTGTTAATGAATTTTGAGAAAGGTTTAGGAACTGCAACGAATCCCACCTCATGCCGCTAAACCAATTAGGGATTTGACCACAAATCTTATTGTTAGAAATATCCAAGTACACAAGTGTCTTTACATTTCTCAAGAAGTGTGGAAAATCCTTCAATTCACAAGAGGAAACAAATTGAACAATAATACCGTGTGAAATTTTATTTTTATTCTTTTATTTGCTTTTTATTCAAAATTTTGTT